GCAATTTCTTAATCTTCTGACAAACTCATTTTTAATTGACTTGTGTTGTTCCGAGTTGGTGAGGTGAGTCTCTTGTAGGCATAGCACATCCGGGGGGTTGTTACTGCTCCAGCCCGTAGTGTTGAGAAAGCAATGCCATTTTTCTGGATTAGAAAAGATGGTTGCCAGACCTCTGACATTCCAAGATTGGATTTTCAGATCCCCCCTTCTGTCCTTCATTGCTTACGTATCATATTATTGTGTTCGACTTGTTTGTGTCAGTTTAGGTTGAGGAAGTGCCTCCTGGTTCATCCTCACAAGGGTGGAGAAGGGACAGCAACTCTTCTTCCCACATTGAGAGTATTCCATCCTTCACCAAGGAGGCTAGTGCTGTTGCATTTTGGGCTCTGGTTGTTTCATTACCCAAGGCTGTGACTGGTAGGGCTGCCATCCACCACCAGGGTCTCCACTGGTAGCCCTCCATCAATTCTGTTTCTTGGTCGCAGCATACCAGGATTGGTCTTGCATCGTATGGATTAGTGGACTTCCCTTCGTCCATGTCCAACGTGTCGATTTGCCCGCTCTGTTCTGCGTTTGGGTGTTTTCCTGTTAGTCCCATAATTTTGGATCCCTTTCCCTTGCAGATTTTACTCAGCAGCATCTCCTTCTTTTGCCCCTTCTGCAATCTGGGAATTGTGAGATCGCTGCTGATTGCAACATTCCATTGGTATCCCTGTGGGTCAAATTTTATGGGAATCACTGCCTGGGATGGTATGAGTGTGCTTGCTTCCTTTCTTGCCCTTTCCCAGAAACCCGCGTGTGCTTTGAGGTGGAGGTCCTCCACTGCCACCGTGCGCAGGGACATTTCCCTATTCAGGTCTGAAAGTCTTTCACATTGTGCATAAAGTGTCTCCTCTTGGATGCCCAACAGCGTTATGCGGTCGCTTCTGTTTGCCCCTGTTGTTCCTTTTGTCCATTTAGGGAGAGTGTAGGCCTGTACTTGGGGAGTTTGGATCTGTTGGTCTGCGATTTCTCCCTGGCTGCATTGCCGTTCCCCTCATCTATCTCCATCTCCTGATTCTCCTTTGTTGAACTGTATTTTTCTGCCAGGAGTGCAGCCAATTCTGCCTCCCTTTCCAAGGGAGCGAAAGGATTTTCTGTGAGAGGAATGGCCTGCGTCGGGTTGTTTGCTGCTGCTGCTTGTCTGTTCCTTTGTTCCTCTCTGTGCAGGATCAACTGCAGGTCATATTTGTCCTGCCTTTCCTTCTCGAATTTATGTATGAAGCTCAGTATCTCGTTTTCCTGTCGCTCAGCCCACGGGTAATACTCTGCCTTGTCCCCGTCCTGTTCCTCTGCTGCTTCATCTCTGTCACAAGCCCGCTCTAGGTGCTTTCTCTTCCCCCCCACTGCTGGCGTCTGGCTGTCTGTTGTAGCTTCTCCCGAAAGGGTGGTCGTCCCTTCTTTCTGTTCTGTCCCAGCCATGCTTTCCCCTTGCCCCTTCCCTGCTTTGGTTTGTCCCTTCTGCGTTCTTCTAGTGTAAGTCCTTTGTTTCTGCAGGTCTTCTTTGTTCCTTTCCAGCTCTTGGTTCCGTCGGACTGCTTCTACCCATTTTTTTTCGGTGACCTCTTGGAGTGACTGCAAATCTGCACGCAGGTCATTCTCCCAAATCTCCTGTTTCAATGAATCCACGTTTATCATTGGATCACTGGTGAAACATTTGGGTGATTTCTTCTCCACCTTCAAAGTTTGCCATCTGCTGTCATACGGCGGGTAGATGTCTGGTCGGGGTGTTGGTTGGCTATCCAGCGTCCAGACCCAGTCAGGAGTCTCTAGGTCGTCATTAAACACCCAACCTGCATACTGTGCACTCGGGATGTACCAGTAACCTTTCTTTTCTGCTACCTCCTGTAGGTTCGCTGTTTTCAGCGTCTTGGGCTTGGCGTTTTCTCTGACCTTGGGGCAGCTTGAGTCTGTTCCCAGGTGTCCTCTCTGTCTGCATTTGAAGCAGAGAGGGTTGGACTTGCTAGACACCGTGATTCTGATGATTCTGTTTTCCTGCTCAAAGAACCATTCTTCTGGTGTGAAAGGGGCGGTATTGTTTCCTGTGTCCAAGATTACGGTCATTTGATTGTGCTGTGGTGTGAGGAAGTCCGGGGTGGACACTATCCAGTGTGATTCCTTGTAGTGTCCATATTCCATTTTCACCCTTTCTTTGATGCAGCCATGCATTCCTTCCGGCACGTTGTCAAATTGCATCCAAAAATGTTTTTTTAACAGGTTCTGTCTGTATCTGAAGGGTGTTTGTTGATATTCCATTGCCTGTTTCCAGGGGTGAACTGTAACCACCGACGAATTGCATGTGAAGCATTTATTCTTTAGAAAGGTTGCCAGTGACTCCTCCATGCACAACACCATGATGGCGTTCCGTGACCTTGGGTGGAAGGACACCTTGGGGTCTGTTCCCTGGATCGGCTCCAGGCTCTTTAGTTTTTCCCAGATCCATTTCAACTTCGCTTGTCTATCTAGCTCCTGACTCTTCTTCGCAAATGTGAAAAGTACGACATGCTTTTTGCGTAACTCCTCCTGCTTCTCTGTGATTTCTTTGGGACATTGATAGATTACTACTTCTTCTTGGTTGTTTCCTCCCTGATCGATTACTTTAGTTATTTTGGTCAGCGATGTCCTTGTTTGTTCTGCTAGCCAATTCTGTGTTTCGATTCCCCTGCCTTCCATTGACGCTTGAGGTCCCTTGTTCACTGTTCCAGTTAGTGGTTTAATGTCTGGACGTACAGTGTGTGAAAGATGGTGCTCGGACAGTGGAGGGGTACTCAGATGTTAATCTCCGTGTGGTGTGGGTCAGAGGGGGTGGGGGTTGAACAAAGTTAGATTTGAGAACAGGGTAAGGAAGGCTCGAGGTAGGGGGAGTGATCGGAAATGTAACAGAATAAATTAACGAGGGGGGTGGGGAACCGGGTGGGGAGGAAGGTGGCTCGTGTTGGGTATGTGTTGGGAGCTCAGGCGAAGAAACAGGGATGTGGGTGTGTGTGGCGAGAAGGGATCGTGAGTGCGGTGAGGACAAAAGGGGATTCCGTAGACGAACTAGGGGGGATGGATAACTGAAAAAAGGGGGGTGGGAGATGGTTGGGGGTGACGTGGACGGGCGGGTTGTCTAGGCCTGTTGGAGGGGGGATCGTGAGTCTAGATGGGGGTCTCTGGAAACGAGAGGTATCCGACCCGGAGTAAGCTGTGATCCGATCGGGGGTGCGGCAGGCTCGAGTTCGAGTGAAAGACGAGATTGAGGAGTGAATTAGAAACGCAGAGGATCTAGGGGGGGGTACGTGTGGGGTTGAGGTTAGGTTTAAAAAAGTGGGGACTGGGAAGGAAACGGGAGCAGGGTTATGGTGGGTTCGGGTGGGAGTTGGGTGGGGACCGAGATGGCTCTGGGTCACGATCGAAGTGTGCAATGGGTGGCGGGGGGAGGGTGAGG